ATTATTTATCATAAATCTAAAATATAATTTATATTTAAAAATATTTTTTTATATAAATTTTAAATATAATTTATATACATAATTTATTTTAATTTTTAATTATATAAAATAAGTATTTAGTATATTTATTGTACAAATTAAAATACTAATATCAATGAATTGCAAGATCGATGTTTCTTATACAAAAATAAATTTAATACTTTGGTTAATTTAGTTTTACAAATTTCTTTTAAATTTATATTTTTTCTTCCAAAATATATTATAATATTAGTGAAACTCTTACTCCGTGTATTACTTATTGAATTAAAAGAAGCAACCTTAATTAAGAGTATTATTGTAAAAATAATTAACACGTACACGAGAGACATTTTAAATCCACTCTTATAAAAACGACGAAATACTTTTGATTTGAATTTAATTAAAGAAAAATTCGGAAGAAGTAGTGATTGTAATAATGAAATACTTTTTTGTCAAGATAAATATAAACATATAAATTATTGACATTTAATAAGAAAAATGACATATTAAAAAAATGTCAAACAAAAGGAATATGTGTATTATTATAATATTTTTTTGGGGCGAAAACTAAATTATTAGCTAGTGTAAACATGGTAAATCTATATTAACAATATAATATCACATTACAAATATAATATCCATAATTATAAATCTGTTAACATATAATTACAAACTTATTATAAATGCATTGTGGAATTTAAATCCACTCATTCTTAATATATCATTCACAAAGTCACAACTCTTAACGATATCTCGGTAAATTTTTTATTATACAATATAATATAATCATTGTAATAATTTTTATGTAAACCTAAATTTCTATAAATAGTTGATATCTTTTTACTGCTAGTGTTTCTTTAATGGCTATCCAATTAAAATTCGGTAAAATGAGATTTTTCGGGCTACTGAAATAATCAATTTCTTTGTGCATATATGTGAACCCATATAGTACAAACGAAAATCACAATACATTGTGTTTTCACCTAAAATTGGTTTAGGGATCTTTCTGATCAGATTGGTGGACCTCCTCTACTTCGTACGTTGGTTATTCTGAGATAAGGGTGATATTGCAAAAGAGACTCTGGTACTTAAGTTATTTTTTGATAGCGTAGATGTCTCATATAGCATGCGTACCTTGGTGATTTTTAGGGTTATCTTGGTTTAGCGGCACATTGGCAATTCTAGGATTTTATTGTGATTGACGCGGTGATAAGATCATATTTCTGGTTGGTGGATGACGTGGCTTTTATAAGCCGATGTGGCTTTTCGATGTTATTGACTCCTAGCCGAGCTTGTCTACTTGGTCAGGCTTGGCCAAGTTTACTAACTCGGCCGGGTTGGTACACCTTGAAAATGAATAAGAAACCGTGTGCATGAGAGTTCACTATAAGAAAAATGTTAATTTCTGACAGAAATTTCTGATGGAAACAAGTAATTTCACGTCATTTCACTTTTTACCGTGTTTTATCCTTACTTGCGCAATTTCTGGGAAACTTCCCAGAATGTCACCCATCCCTATATTATTCCAGGTCAAACACGCTTAACTGTGAAGTTCTTATGAGATAAGCTACTGAAATGTATATGCATATTATCAGTATAACTTGAATAAATTAATTCATTTAAGTCATCTTCAACTATACAATCTCATATTTGTACTATAATAATGATATATAATAATTTTATATTACGAATAATAATAATATATTTAATTATTCTTTATTTATATATACTTACTTTTATAATTAAAAATCTACTTATTTCTATTTAAAATTATAATTTAAAAAATTATTTAATTTTATAATTTATAATGATAATATAATTTATAAAATTATAAATATTTATTTATTACATACTTATATATTAAATTTTAACATTTTAAATAAATTATTAATTAATTTAATATATTTATTTACCTTAAATCAAACATATAAAATTCAAAAAAT